ATTTGTTGAGCCACAAAAAAAACCTGACTCACTTTGGAGTGCTAACTGAACTTTGTTTTTTTGGGGGGTATTTTTTTTTGTATTTATTAATATTATTTTTTTACCTAACCAGAAGTATGGCTAGTCCGTTTATCCGGTTCACACGACAATGTGCCCGCATTCTCCACCACGTGTGACAATCCTCTTCAAGGTTAGGAGCGTTTCTACACAAATGAAGCGGGAGACCGTCACCAAAATCACCCCAGAGAGAGTTATTTCGAACAAGAAAATACCTGTATGTTGGTTTCTCCGTCCTGGTCCGCCCAGGCCGCAGGCATGGTCGAGGATAACAGGGTTCGGTACACAAATCGGGTTCTCAGTAGGTCCAGGTCCAACAGCCAACAGGTAAGTCCAAACAGTCCAGGTCCTACACGATAAATCCAGCCAATATATATATTGTCACTTTCCTCTTTCTCCATGGTTCACAGATCAACAGCCCCTTGCTCTCTCTCCTCCTTCCTGGTGTGGCTTGACCCCTTATACGTGGGTCGGCCCCACCTTGCGAGCGTACCCCTTGCTTCTGGGAATTGTAGTTTTTGGTAGTCAGACATTTTGTGATCTGCAGTTCTTGTCGGGGTGGCCATTTTAGTGAGAGGGCAGAGCCCATTTATTAGTTCTGCCCTCACATATCTGCCATTTATCACTCGGCCCCCTTCTTTGCCACAAAATATATATATATACAGTACCAGTATCAAGTTTGGACACACCTACTCATTCAAGGGTTTTTCTTTATTTTTTACTATTTTCTACATTGTAGAATAATAGTGAAGACATCAAAACTATGAAATAACACATATGGAATCATGAAGTAACCAAAAAAGTGTTCAACAAATCAAAATACATGTTATATTTGAGATTCTTCAAATAGCCACCCTTTGCCTTGATGACAGCTTTTAAAAAATTAAGAAAAACCCTTGAATGAGTAGGTGTGTCCAAACTTTTGACTGGTAGTGTATGTGTAGCATTTCGCTACACCCGCTATAACATATGCTAAACACGTGTATGTGACAAATACAATTTGATTTGATTTAGATATCTTTATTAGAAAGAATACTACATTTCCCTTGACGTAGTGATGCTGAATGTAAAACATGGTTCAACACACCCCACTCTCCCCTACAGTGTGCACTACCGAATACAACCCAGTAAACACACATATCCAACAGACTCCCACTGACCGAAGGCCCACACACCCACACATCAGACTGGGGGGGGGGGGGGGGGGGCAGGGGAGGGGGGGGGGGGGGGGGGGGGGCACGCACACATCAGACTACCACTGACCGAATACCCATGATGGGGGGGTTGGCGGTGGCCTGGCAGGTGAAGGTGACTCTCTCTCCCTCCAGGACAGACCGAGGCTCTATGGATAGGTTCACCTTGGGGGGGTCTGCAGGATGGAGGGAGGGAGGGAGGGAGGGAGGGGGAGGGAGGGAGAGACAAAGATTCAATAAGCCTGAAACACATTCACACACACACAGACATACACACACACAAACACACTTACGGTGCACGTTGAGGGTGATGGTGGTGCGTTTTCCCATGGGGACAGCCTTGTTGCTGGCCACACAGGTGAAGTTGCATCCCGTGTCTTTGTCCTCTGGGATGATGGGCAGGAAGCTCCTTGTCGTCACCCTCTTTCTGTCTGGGAGAACCTCCTTGGGGGGGTGGTTGGATGAAGGGAGAGAGGGGGAGGAGTGGGGCGAGAGAGAAGGCCGGAGCATGAGGAGAGAGAGATGGAGGTGGAGAGATGGACGAGGGAGGAGAGAGGAGAGAGGGAGAGAAGCGATGAGAGATGACGAGAGGAGAGAGAAGAGAGGAGGAGTGAGAGAGAGAGAGCGGGAGAGAGAGACGGAGAGAGAGGAGAGAGAGGAGAGAGAGAGAGAGGAGGAGAGAGAGGAGGGAGAGAGAGAGAGAAGAGAGGAGAGGAGAGGAGAGAGAGGAGAGGGAGATGGAGGAGAGAGAAAAAGAGGAGGAGAGAAAAGAGGGCGAGAGAGAGAGAGTCAAAACAGGAACATTTTACATTTGGCTAGAAATTAATAAGGAAATGATCTCAACAGAGAAAAATTTCCTCGTGTGTGCTACCTATATCACCCCAATAGAATCCCCATACTTTAACGATGACAGCTTCTCCATCCTAGAGGGGGAGATCAATCATTTCCAGGCCCAAGGACATGTACTAGTCTGTGGCAACCTAAATGCCAGAACTAAACAAGAACCTGATACTCTCAGCACACAGGGGGACAAACACCTACCTGGAGGTGACAGTTTTCCCTCCCAAATGTGCCCCCCAAACACAACTATGACAAAACAACCAACAAAAATGGGTCACAACTCCTGCAGCTCTGTCACACGCTGGGTCTGTACATAGTCAATGGTAGGCTTCGAGGAGACTCCTACGGTAGGTACACCTACAGCTCATCCCTTGGCAGGAGTACTATAGATTACTTTATCACTGACCTCAACCCAGAGTTTCTCAGAGAGTTCACAGTCAGCCCACTAACACCCCTATCAGATCACAGTCTACCTGAACAGAGCAATACTCAATCATAAGGCATCAAAGCCAAAGGAACTGCACAATATTAAGAAATGCTATAGATTGAAGGAAAGTAGTGTAGAAACCTACCAAAAAAACAATACATAAATACACTACGGAAAAAGAAGGGACAGCACATCAGAAATCAGCTCAATGTAATTGAAGAATCCTTAGAATCTAACCACTTCTGGGAAAATTGGAACACACTAAACAAACAACAACACGAACAGCTATCTATCCAAAATGGAGATGTATGGATAAACCACATCTCCAATCTTTTTGGCTCTATAACAAAGAACAAACAGCAAAAACATATACATGATCAAATGCAAATCTTAGAATCAACTATTAAAGACTACCAGAATCCACTGGATTCTCCAATTACATTGAATGAACTACAGGACAAACTACAAACCCTCCAACTCAAAAAGGCCTGTGGTGTTGATAGTATCCTAAATGAAATGATAAAATATACAGACCACAAATTCCAATTGGCTATACTTAAACTCTTTAACACTATCCTAAGCTCTGGCATCTTCCCCAATATTTGGAACCAAGGACTGATCACCCCAATCCACAAAAGTGGAGACAAATTTGACACCAATAACTACTGTGGGATATGTGTCAACAGCAATCCTCTGCATTATCATTAACAGCAGACTCATACATTTCCTCAGTGAAATCAATGTACTGAGCAAATGTCAAATTGGCTTTTTATCAAATTACCGTATGACAGACCACGTATGTACCCTGCACACCCTAATTGACAAACAAACAAACAAAGGCAAAGTCTACTCATGCTTTGTTGATTTCAACAAAGCTTTTGACTGAATTTGGAATGAGGATCTGCTATACGAATTGATGGAAAGCGGTGTTGGGGGAAAAACATACAACATTTTGAAATCCAAAACACACACATTTCTTTCCACAGGGACGTGGGGTGAGACAGGGATGCAGCTTAAGCCCCACCCTCTTCAACATATATATCAACGAATTGGCGAGGGCACTAGAACAGTCTGCACCACCAGGCCTCACCCTACTAGAATCTGAAGTCAAATGTCTACTGTTTGCTGATGACCTGGTGCTTCTGTACCCAACCAAGGAGGGCCTACAACAGCACCTAGATCATCAGCACAGATTCTGTCAGACCTGAGCCCTGAGTAAATCTCAGTAAGACAAAGATAATGGTGTTCCAAAAAATGTCCAGTTGCCAGGACCACAAATACAAATTCCATCTAGAAACACTTGCCCTAGAGCACACAAAAAATTAAGACTGCTGAAAAATTTATCAAATGGCCACCCGGACTATTTGCATTAGGCCGATACTCGCTAATTATCAAAATCCAGAAAAGAGCTGTTAAATTCTACAACCACCTAAAGGGAAGCGATTCCCAAACCTTCCATAACAAAGCCATCACCTACAGAGAGATGAACTTGGAGAAGAGTCCCCTAAGCAAGCTGGTCCTGGGGCTCTGTTCAAAAACACAAACAGACCCCACAGAGCCCCAGTACAGCAACACAATTAGACCCAACCAAATCATGAGAAAACTATAATTACTTGACACATTGGAAAGAATTGACAAAAAAACAGCAAACTAGAATGCTATTTGGCCCTTAACAGAGAGTACACAGTGGCAGAATACCTGACCACTGTGACTGACACAAAATTAAGGACTATGTACAGACTCAGTGAGCATAGCCTTGCTATTGAGAAAGGTCACCGTAGGCAGACCTGGCTCTCAAGAGAAGACAGGCTATGTGCACACTGCCCACAAAATGAGGTGGAAACTGAGCTGCACTTACTAACCTCCTGCCAAATGAATGACCATAATTAGAGACACGTATTTCCCTCAGAATACACAGACCCACAAAGAATTCGAAAACAAATCAATTTTGATAAACTCCCATATCTATTGGGTGAAATACCACAGTGTGCAATCACAGCAGCAATATGTGTGACCTGTTGCCACAAGAAAAGGGCAACCAGTGAAGAACAAACACCATTGTAAATACAACACATATCTATGTTTATTTATTTTCCCTTTTTTACTTTAACTATTTGCACATTGTTACAACACTGTATATAGACATAATATGACATTTGAAATGTCTTTATTCTTTTGGAACTTTTGTGAGTGTAATGTTTACTGTTCATTTTTTATTGTTTATTTCAATTTTGTTTATTATCTATTTAACTTGCTTTGTCAATGTAAACATATATTTCCCATGCCAATAAAGCCCCTTCAATTGAAATTGAATTGAGAGAGAGAGAGCGAGAGAGAGAGAGAGCAACAAAATAAAAATAAAAATAACCAAAAGAAAAGAAAAGAAAGAGGAGGACGGGGTGGAGCCAACAAAAGGTGTATTTAGTGATACAATATGTCAACATGCATCGGTGTTCATGCCGCTGTGTCTGTGTGTGACTCACGGTGGTGCTGAAGGCTCCCTCCAGGGCCACCCCGTCCCGTTTCCACTCGATGATGGCCAGTGGCTTGGCCCCGTGGGACACACAGCTCAGGTTATAGGAGACATTGGCTCTCAGCAGGATCTCTGGAAAGCCCTCGATCACTGGGTCATCGGGAGGGACTGTAGGACAACACACGCAGTGTACTGGACACACACTCTTCATATACACACTGCACTGGACACACACTCTGTATACCAGAGTATGTGAGCGGAGTTGAGCTGCTGCTCTTGGACCTACCATTTGGTTTTGAATTATTGAAACCAAACCCTATGATTTTAATGAAAAGTATTTGAATAAACATGAAAAAGTCAATGTAAGAATAGCTCATAATTTCAAATAGGCTACATGTCATATTAAACAGCATATAAACACTCTAAATATGTCAGGAGCCAGACATGGAGCCTAAGAGAGGAACGAAAATGAATTATTTTGGCTATATTATTTCAATTATTTCAAGGCTATAGCCTACAAAGAAATACATTGTGAAGCATTTGCGAGTGTAACACAATAGGCTGGTAGGAACATAAAGCACTCAGCATTTAAACAACATTTTGTTGTATTAAATCATTAAAGTCTATAAATTGCGCATATAGGCTGCGACTTACTTAGAATTAAATACAAATTAAACAAAAAATGATTTATTAGGCTTAGTCTACAGTGCCTTTGAATTCATTTTTAGAAACACCAGTTTGACCAGAGTCTGTGGCTTCAGGCTTATGCGATGGTGCCTGGAGAGAATATTCTCTTCACGTTTGCAGAGCCACTGGGGATGCTAAACGCCCTTTTGGCCACTCTTGCCAGGCTGGGCAGGGATGCAGAGTTTTTTTTCTATAGGTAGGCCTAAAGGTTTTTACGCAAAATAGCCCAATCAAAAGGGAAAGGTTGAAAGTTGGAAGATGCCAGGTCTATTGGGCCAAAATCAACTATGGCCTATTGTATAGATAATAGAACAAAATGAAGGAACACTTTAAGAGATCAATTTTTTTGTTTATAAATACTTTGCTACAATGACAGACTTAATTGGCCACTCACCTCGTTCCTTTCTTTCAGCATGTGCACATAGTAAGTAGGCTACACCATCATGCTTTCAGGATATGTGTCTTTTCAGATTCCACAATGATTCTTTAGTTGTGGACATTACATCACCGCACTCCCTCTCTTGCTCTTGGTCCTCATCTTTGTAAGTCACCTTGATTTTGCACCTGTGTGTTTTATCAGTTTCTTTATGAAAATATTTAGCAAACTCCATGACAGTAGCTAAAGCAAGTAGACTACAAATGCATGCTGGGCCGGGCATGCCCTGAGCTTGTGAAGTGAGCGCTACTGGAGCGAAATTGGAGCGGGCGAGAAAGCCGACGCTCCAGCCTTTGGGAATCTCGCTCCGCGCTCCAGTCAAATTGGGCACGCTCAGCTCCTCGCTCCGCTCCAGCTCCGCAAACAATCTCTGCTGTATACACACTGCACTGGACACACACACAGTCACACACTGCTCTGGACACACACACTCTGCACTGGACACACACACTCCTGACAGACAGATAGATACTCACTGAGGACGGTGAGTTTGGCTCTCCGGGAGCGCAGGGCAGCCTCTGTGGCCTGGCACTCGTACAGGGAGTCATCGGACAGCTCTGCCGCAGAGATCTCCAGGCTATACTGGCCCACGTCTATCACCCGCAGCACACGGTACCTCGGCCAGGCTGAGAGAGAGAGAGAGAGAGAGAGAGAGAGAGAGAGAGAGAGAGAGAGAGAGAGAGAGAGTCAGACACATCCCTGCAAACGTGTCCACAATGGCATGATGTGGGCCCAATCCCGGCAAAAGTATTGGCCCCACATAGGCTGCCCAAATTGGGCCAATGTGCCTTTGCTCATCGGCTCCACATTGGCCCCAAGGGCAGCCCTCACTTCGCCTGAAATAAGCCCTCCATTTTAGATCGGCTGCCCATTACATTGTATCAGAAAGACAACAACGTTGTTACTATCATATACATATTTTTACCAGAGAAACTTAAACGTTTCTCTTATATCAAATGCACTTATCTAAGTCTTTTTACAGACTTCATCATTGGCAGTATACAATATAAATGTTTTGTTGACATCACACAACAGAACACTTAAACTGGAACGACACTCTCAGTAACTTAACAACATGAATTGGGGTATTTTCAAACCACGCCCGCAAATATTCTAATGAGCCCCGGCCTCTACATTATCAAATCAAATCAAATTGTATTTGTCACATGCGCCGACTACAACAGGTGCAGACCTTACAGTGAAATGCTTACTTACAAGCCCTTAACCAACAACGCAGTTTTTAAGAAAAATAAGTGTTAAGAAAGTATTTACTAAAATAAACTGAAGTAAAAAATTGATAAGTAAAAAAGAATAAAATAAGAAAAAAATAGAAAAGAAAACAAATAATTAAAGAGCAACAATAAAATAACAGTAGTGAGGCTATATACAGGGGTACCGGTACAGAGTCAATGTGCGGGGGCACAGGTTATTCGAGGTAATTTAGGTAATATGTACATTTATAGAGGTCCTGGATGGCAGGAAGCTTGGCCCCAGTGATGTACTGGGCCGTACGCACTACCCTCTGTAGTGCCTTGCGGTCGGAGACCGAGCAGTTGCCATACCAGGTGGTGATGCAACCAGTCAGGATGCTTTCGATGTTGCAGCTGTATAACCTTTTGAGGATCTGAGGACCCATGCCAAATCTTTTCAGTCTCTTGAGGGGGAATAGGCTTTGTCGTGCCCTCTTCACGACTGTCTTGGTGTGTTTGGACATGATCGTTTGTTGGTGATGTGGACACCAAGGAACTTGAAGCTCTCAACCTGCTCCACTACAGCCCCGTCAATGAGAATGGGGGAGTGCTCGGTCCTCCTTTTCCTGTAGTCCATAATCATCTCCTTTTTCTTGATCACGTTGAGGGAGATGTTGTTATCCTGGCACCACACGGCCAGGTCTCTGACCTCCTCCCTATAGGCTGTCTCATCGTTGTGTCGTCGGCAAACTTAATGATGGTGTTGGAGTCGTGCCTGGCCATGCAGTCATGGGTGAACAGGGAATACAGGATGGGACTGAGCACGCACCCCCGAGGGGCCCCCGTGTTGAGGATCAGCGTGGCAGATGTGTTGTTACCTACCCATACCACCTGGGGGTGGCCTGTCAGGAAGTCCAGGATCCAGTTGCAGAGGGAGGTGTTTAGTCCCAGGGTCCTTAGCTTAGTGATGAGCTTTGAGGGCACTATGGGGTTGATCGCTGAGCTGTAGTCAATAAATAGCATTCTCACGTAGGTGTTCCTTTTGTCCAGGTGGGAAAGGGCAGTGTGGAGTGCAATAGAGTTTGCATCATCTGTGGATCTGTTGGGGCGGTATGCAAATTGGAGTGGGTCTAGAGTTTCTGGGATAATGGTGTTGATGTGAGCCATGACCAGCCTTTCAAAGCACTTCATGGCTACAGACGTGGGTGCTACGGGTCGTTAGTCATTTAGGCAGGTTACATTGGTGTTCTTGGGCACAGGGACTATGGTGGTCTGCTTGAAACATGTTGGTATTACAGACTCAGTCAGGGACTGGTTGAAAATGTCAGTGAAGACACTTGCCAGTTGGTCAGCGCATGCTCGGAGTACACGTCCTGGTAATACATCTGGCCCTGCGACCTTGTGAACGTTGACCTGTTTAAAGGTCTTACTCATATCGGCTACGGATTGATGTGGGATAGCCTGTGTTGGGCGTGGTGTGGGCTAGCCCGTGCTGGGCTTTGTGTGGGCTAACCCAAGTTGGGCTTGGTGTGGGCTGGCGTGGGCTATCCTGTGTGGGCTAGCCCCTGCCCACCTTGCCCACAAAATACCCACATGGGGCCAAGTTTGCTGGGATGTACACATACATACACCCATAGCACACAGTACCTAGGACCGGCTGGAAGAGAGAGAGAGAGAGAGAGAGAGAGAGAGAGAGAGAGAGAGAGAGAGAGAGAGAGAGAGAGAGAGAGAGAGAGAGAGAGAGAGAGAGAGAGAGACATTTACCGTAGCAAACAGTACCTTGGCCAGGCTGAGACACAGAGTGAGACAGAAAGTCAGATAGATGTACACACACACACACAGAGAGAGAGAGAGCGCGCGAGAGAGAGAGAGAGAGAGAGTCAGACACATGTACCAGTCGTACATACATTTACATACTGTAGAATATAAATATATTTCAATGTAGACCTATGAAAATTGCGCCATACCATGAATCTGAGAGAATGAACACACATTTGGAATTCGAACACGTAGACAGACAAACACAATGCAAAACTGCCTCAATGGACTTTTCTCAATTACTTAAAAAGCCGTTCTCTCCTCGCCTCCTCCCTGCCTCCTCCCCTCGCTTCCCTCTGATGTTTTCAAAAGGAGGAGAGGGCGGGAGGAAAGGAGTCGATGAAATCTAATTGAGAAAAGGCCAATATCTCATCACACCATGCATGGTGTATTCCATCCACTGGGGGGCAGATCAGGAGTCTAGAAGCTCCCCCGAATTATGACATCATCGATTTGGATTCTGAAAGGGACAAAAGTATTGGTCCAGATTACATCATCTTTGCCTGCCTCCACCTTCCAGCAGCATAGCAACCAGCTGAACCAGCAGCATAGCAACCATCAGAGAGGTGAACACTAAGGAGCACAATGAAGCAGCGCAGGTGTGCATGAATGAGAGGATCAGTGTGTGTGTGTGTGTGTGTGTGTGTGTGTGTGCTTGAGTGTGCATGTGCGCATAAACGCGTATACTGTATGTACACTTTCATCTTCATCATGTGTGTCTGTGTATGATACTGGACTGCTATGCTCCATTTTGAGAGAGAGAGAGAGAGAGAGAGAGAGAGAGAGAGAGAGATGGAGAGAGAGAGAGACAGAGAGAGAGAGAGAGAGAGAGAGAGAGAGAGAGAGAGAGAGAGAGAGAAAGTTTGAGGAAACTGTAGAAGCAATGGCTACTGAGCTTTGTTGAACCTGTGAATCAAACTGAGTTGAACACGCACACCACATTTCAGATCATTACCTTTGGGTTAAGCGTGTGTGTATGGGTGTGTGTGCCTCCTTTTGTATGTATGCGTGTATGCTCTCACCCCTGAGGCCCTCTCCGATGCCCAGTGCCAGTCCATCCTTGGTCCACTGTACGATTCCGGTGTAGTTGTAGACGACACAGGTCAATACTACCCTCTCTCCCAGAACAACAGACTGGTCCGCTGGCTCCTGTGAGAACCTCGCTGTCCATACTGCCACAGAGACAAACACACTGTCAGGGAGAGGGTATACTGGAGGTGTGCATGTATGTGGTGCTTATTTGAGAGAAAGCATCAAATACACTTTGTTTTGTTTTGTTTCTACAAATGTGTAAACACATAAACATATAGCTACAGTACACAAGATCAAACATGTTCACACAAACACACGCAACCATACAGACAGTTTCTGTATGTGTGATGATGTTTTCACGTTTGCATCATCAGGTAGAAATATTTCATATTTCAGTGACATTATTGCAGTGGGTTCATTAATTAAAACTGATATAAGGAAAAACGTATCTCAAATGACACTCTCGCTCTCTTTTCTTGGATCATGTTTAAAACAATCCTATTAGCTAATTAATTAAGGCAAAAAATCGTTACGATTTATTTAAGGAAGACCTCTGGGGATTGCATCAAAAAGGAAGAAACAAGAGTAAGGAGAGGACTCCAGATTCAACACTCTGTCTACGTCCTAAATGGCAGCCTATTCCCTATATAATGCACTTCTTTTGACCAGAGCCCATAGTGTACTATAATGGGAATAGGGTGCAATTTGGGACGTAGCCGCTGTTACTGTCATGTTGTTTGTGTTGAGGGCTCCTTACAAAGGAGCTGACACTGCTACACACTGTGATGCTTCAACAGTGTTAAACATCAATGGTAATGATGGTGATGATGTTGACGTTGACAGCGACAGTGATGACAGCAATGGTGATGACGGTGATGACAATGGCGGTGATGATGATGGTGGTGATGATGATGGTGGTAATGATGATAACAGTAATGACGATGACAGTCCTGCACAGAACAGTATTACCACACTGTCACGGATTCTGCCGAGACTGCCCTTCCTTCTGGCTCGGGCAGGCTTCGGCGTTCGTCGTCACCGGAGTACTAGCTGCTGCCGCTCTATGTTATATGTTTCTATGTTCACTTGATTGTTGTCTGTTGTCGCACACCTGTTCCCCATTATGTTAGTTTGTCTGCGTATTTAACCTGTTCACGTCCACTGTTTGGTGTGCGTGTTTATTGTATGTACGAATGTCATTATTGTGAGCGGGTTTTGCTCCTCTTTTGTTGTTTTGGAGGATTTTCCTTGTATTTCTTTACTACTCAGTAAAGTGGTTCTTCATCTCATTCTGTGTCCTGCGCTTGACTCTGGCCTACCGCATTCCACCGACATTCGTGACACACACTTACACTTTTAAAGGTAATTTATGGTTGAGCCGACATGCGCAGCGTTTACCATGAACACAATCTCCGCAAATGTATGGAAAACGGCCTTAAAAAGGTGCATAGTCGGCTGTATAGTGCTCTGCACTATAACGCACCTTGCATTGAATCCCGGCCCAATAAAGTAAACATTTGGGGCAGTTGGAAATATTTAGAAATTCTGTGTGACCCTCTATGTTTATGAACTCTCTTTCCCATAATGCACTGCTGAAAAAGTGAGAGAGGGAGAGGGAGAGAGAGAAAAGGAGAGAAAGGGAGACTAAGAGAGAGAGAGACAGAGGTAAAATGTCTACTGGTGCTTCTGTCCCCAACCAAGGAGGGCCTGCAGCAGCACCTAGATCTTCTGCACAGATTCTGTCAGACCTGGGCCATGACAGTAAATCTCAGTAAGACAAAAATAATGGTGTTCCAAAAAAGGTCCAGTTGCCAGGACCACAAATACAAATTCCATCTAGACACCGTTGCCCTAGAGCACACAAAAAATTATACATACCTCGGACTAAACATCAGCACCACAGGTCAATTCCACAAAGCTGTGAATGACCTGAGAGATAAGGCAAGAAGGGCCTTCTACGCCATAAAATTCAACATCCCAATTAGGATCTGGCTAAAAATACTTGAATCAGTTATAGAACCCATTGCCCTTTATGGTTGTGAGGTCTGGGTTCCGCTCACCAACTAAGAATTTACAAAATGGGACAAACACCAAATTGAGACTCTGCATGTAGAATTATGCAATAACATCCTCTGTGTACAATGTAAAACACCAAATAATACATGTAGAGCAGAATTAGGCCGATACCCGCTAATTATCAAAATCCAGAAAAGAGCCGTTAAATTCTACAACCATCTAAAAGGAAGCGATTCCCAAACCTTCCTTAACAAAGCCATCACTTACAGAGAGATTAACCTAGAGAAGAGTCCCCTAAGCAAGCTGGTCCTGGGGCTCTGTTCACAAACACAAAACAGATCCCACAGAGCCCCAGGACAGGAACACAATTAGACCCAAACAAATCATGAGAAAACAAAACTATAATTACATGACACATTGGAAAGAATTTACAAAAAAACAGAGCACACTGGAATGCTATTTGGCCCTTAATAGAGAGTACACAGTGGCAGAATACCTGACCACTGTGACTGACCCAAAATTAAGGAAAGCTTTGACTATGTACAGACTCAGTGAGCATAGCCTTGCTATTGAGAGAGGCCACAAAATGAGGTGGAAACTGATCTGCACTTCTTAACTTCCTGCCAAATGTATGACCATATTAGAGACACATATTTCCCTCCGATTACACAGACCCACAAAGAATTCGAAAACAAATCCAATTTTGATAAACTCCCATATCTATTGGGTGAAATACCACAGTGTGTCATCATAGCAGCAAGATTTGTGACCTGTTGCCACAAGAAAAGGGCAACCAGGGAAGAACAAACACCATTGTGTACTTTAACTATTTGCACATCATTATAACACTGTACATAGCCATAATATGACATTTTAAATGTCTCTATTCCTTTGAAACTTTTATGAGTGTAATGTTTACTCTTCATTTTTGATTGTTTATTTCAATTTTGTTTATTATCTATTTAACTTGCTTTGGCAATGTAAACATATGTTTTCCATGCCAATAAAGCCCTTTGAATTGAATTGAATTGAATTGAATTGAGAGAGAGAGAGAGAGAGAGAGAGAGAGAGAGAGAGAGAGAGAGAGAGAGAGAGAGAGAGAGAGAGAGAGAGAGAGAGAGAGAGAGAGAGAGAGAGCAAAAGGGGGGCTGTCAGACTGTAGCTGAGACTCAGAGAGAGAAGGAGAGAACCACACTGATAGAGAACAGAGATTTAATTAACCCTGGGGGATCCCTCTCTTTCTCTCCCTGTCTCTCTATCTCTCCATCTCTCCCTCCCTCTGTGCTTCCATGGCTTTGGGAAAGTAGTAGGTAGCGTTGGTTGGTCTGCTCTATGCCCTTTTCCCTTTACTCTCCGCCTCTCCCTCCTTCCCTGTCCTCTCTTTCTATTATTGGGTAATAACACAGTGGTAGAGATTTGGGTGAACTATAGTACGTTCACTGATATTTCCCTCTTTCCCTTAAATAAACAGTAAAAATATCTGTCCGTCTGCTCAGACCAACTGTGTATCTTGAATGTTGAAAATATGATTATTATTCTCTCAGAATGTCAAACATGTAAACACAGTAAAAAAAAAATGCAGATGGTTTGTGTGGGAAGGTACATATACAGTACCAGTCAAAAGTTTGGACACACCTATTCATCCAGGGTTTTTCTTTATTTTTACTATTTTCTACATTGCATATTAATAGTGAAGACATCAAAACTATGAAATAACACATATGGAATCATGTAGTAACCAAAAAAGTGTTAAACAAATAAAAATATATTTTATATTTGAGATTCTTCAAAGTAGCCACCCTTTGCCTTGATAACAGCTTTGCACACTCTTGGCATTCTCTCAACCAGCTTCATGAGGTAGTCACCTGGAATGCATTTCAATTAACAGGTGTGCCTTCTTAAAAGTTAATTTGTGGAATTTCTTTCCTTCTTAATGCGTTTGAGCCAATCAGTTGTGTTGTGACAAGGTAGGGTTGGTATACAGAAGATAGCCCTTTTTGGTAAAAGACCAAGTCCATATTATGGCAAGAACAGCTCAAATAAGCAAAGAGAAATGACATTCCATCATTACTTTAAGACATGAAGGTCAGTCAATACGGAACATTTCAAGAACTTTGAAAGTTTCTTCAAGTGCAGTCGCAAAAACCATCAAGTGCTACGATGAAACTGGCTCTCATGAGGACCGCCACAGGAAAGGAAGACCCAGTGTTACCTCTGCTGCAGAGGATAAATTCATCAGATTAACTGCACCTCAGATTGCAGCCCAAATAAATGCTTCACAGAGTTCAAGTAACAGACACATCTCAACATCAACTGTTCAAAAGAGACTGTGTGAATCAGGCCTTCATGGTCGAATTGCTGAAAAGAAACCACTACTAAAGGACACCAATAATAAGAAGAGACTTGCTTGGGCCAAGAAACACGAGCAATGGACATTAGACCGGTGGAAATCTGTCCTTTGGTCTGATGAGTCCAAATATGAGATTTTTGGTTCCAACCGCTGTGTCTTTGTGAGACGCAGAGTAGGTGAACGGATGATCTCCGCATGTGTGGTTCCCACCGTGAAGCAATGAGGAGGAGGTGTGATGGTGTGGGGGTGCTTTGCTGGTGCCACTGTCAGTGATTTATTTAGAATTCCAGGCACATTTAACCAGCATGGCTACAACAACATTCTGCAGCGATATGCCATCCCATCTGGTTAGCGCTTAGTGGGACTATCATTTGTTTTTCAACAGGACAATGACCCAACACACCTCCAGGCTGTATAAGGCTATTTGACCACGAAGGAGAGTGATGGAGTTCTGCATCAGATGACCTGGCCTCCACAATCCCCCGACCTCAACCCAATTGAGATGGTTTGGGATGAGTTGGACCCCAGAGTGAAGGAAAAGCAGCCAACAAGTGCTCAGCATATGTGGGAACTCCTTCCAGACTGTTGGAAAAGTATTCCAGGTGACTACCTAATGAAGCTGGTTGAGAGAATGCCAAGAGTGTGTAAAGCTGTCATCAA